ACAATCCATGTCATTTCCCACCACCAAATCAAGAAATTAAACTCATTTAAAAAAACCCTAATCCCATATTAATAATAATAATAACAAAAATAAAAATATAATTAAGAAAAAAATAAAAAAATCATGCCAAGAGCCAAAAGTCCTTCTGCCTTTTGGTAGTGATGAGATATCCACCAAGCTTCTTGCTTTTCCTCCTCACAGCAATTGCCATACAGCCTGCATTCTGCACACAGTACTCGGCCACCCCGCCAGCTGGACTCCGCCCTGCCCCTGTCCACATCAGCATCATCCGCCACGTCATCGACCTCTTCTTCTGCCCCACCACCAGCAATGCCGCCCCTTCCCGCCCGGCCGCCGCCACTATGGCCGCCCCTCTGTCTTTCCCTTCCACCACAGCCACCTCAACCGCCACCTAGACATAATTATATATATATATATATATATATATATCGTGTAAAAATCAATTTTTCTAAATTATTTAAATTAAATGATCTACACAACTATATTATAAGGATAACAAGTTGTTGCATTTGCAATTTTGGGATGTAACAATAACAAAATTGTACTCCTAATTAGTTGCTCAAATAGTTATGATGATTCAAGAAAAAGTCAACACACTACCTCTGGCCTTTTAAGTTGACAAGAAGTTTTGATGGTATTGATGAACTCGGGTACTTTATGATCCATAGTTGATTGATCACCTGTTAAAAAATAAAATTTTTCATAGAGAAATTGTTCATATTAATCAATTATTCATATCCAATCAAGGGAGCTTTCGAATTTCGATCATGTGCAGTTAACACTTGATTCAACTGTAAAAAAAACTCGAATGACTGTATAAGGGTGAATTTTTTTCGAATCAAGAACATCATATAGATAGATAAAAATATATAATTAACTAAAGTTACCTTGTTTTGAAGGCCTAATGACATGGAGAAGGACCAAAATGTCATGATTTTGCAATGTGTGACTAAGTGCCCATTGCAAGGCATTTTTAGCCTCCATACTCGAATCGACCACAACCATCACTTTCCGGCCACCGATTGCTCTCGATTTCTCGACTCCATCGCCGGAAATACCCTTCTCGACGCCGGAAAACTCTTCCGTTTTCCTCTCGTCGCCACTTGTCGTCGAATTATCCTCGTTCTTGGATTGAATATGCGGCGATCGGACACGAACTAGGGGCCTAATCCTATTTAGGCAAAACTTAGGCATTTTGGTGGCTATTTTGCCCATTTGTGTGCTACTATATTGTTTGGCTAAGGGACAAAAGCAAAGTTTAACTTATATGTGAGGATAGTTAGACAATATTGTTGGTGTAGAGAAATTGGGACTTAGGTGTTTTTATATATTGTGAGAAGAAGAAAATAAAGGGAGCAAAAAAATTGGGCATTGGTTGTGGAATTTAGGTTGAGGAGAAAATATTATGTGTACTATTTTTAACACATGATAAAGATGGGCCAACCCTGTTTTCTCATTTTTCCTCTTTTTGCTATATAATTATTTTTGCTTTTTGCTTCTTTTAATTTCTTTAGGCTTGTGGCTTTACTTTTGAACGTGACTGTCATGAAGACTGTAGGGCCAATAAAAATTGTTATTCTTTGAAGAATTTTATTTTATTTTATTGGTTTTTTTAATTATTATTATTATGTTAGTCAAACTGCATTACTGCAGTAATGGGAAATTGATTTGGTGTTAATGATGGTGAGGTTAGGGTTGATCTAGGAAGTTTAATGAAGGAAATATTTTTTTAGTTTGGTTTGAATTTCAATTTGAATCATGACTATGTTTTACACAAACGCAATTATGGAAAGCAATATTTTGATTCTATATGTTGGTCTCATTTAATTTGACCTGATCATATTCTGTTTTACTCAAGGTATAATCAGTAGTTTATATAGTTTGTTCAAATTCATTTTCTTTCTACTATCCATTGTGCTTGAAAATCCAAGTAAATCTTGGACCTTTTTGACTTTTTTGACTTATAATTTTGTAGAGTTATTTTGTAAACAATATTGACTTTGATACCATGAGTTGTTGAAATATATTTGTTCTGGGGATTTTTTTTTTTTCACATAGATAATTGTTATGAAAAAAAAAAATATACTAAAATAATCTAGCATTTGTGGCACATGCTTAGGGTAAGATTTGATTATCTAATTAATTTATAATGAGTCAAATTCACTTTCAAAAGCCTATAGCAAGTAGTCATCCGAAATAGGAGACCAAAATATTCGATTAGCCCTAATATTTCAAGCTAAAGGATAACATAGGTCATTAGTAGTACAAAGATTGTAATGTTGTTTAGCAGCTAGCAACAATAAATTTTAAAACAGTTGTAAAATTTGTTGATTGTAAACCCCATTTGAATAGAGTTTAACCATAAATTAATCATGAGAGACAAATTACTTAGAATTGGTTACGAGGTTAGAGTCTAAAAATAGGGTGAAAAAAGGCATATGATTGTAAATGATGCACGTTGGGTCACACATATAATTAAATTTGGATTTTAAATATTACATACTTATTTTTCTTATAAGTATATACCAAAAATAGAGAAATGAATAACTCATTTATGAACTTTGTACTTTGAAATCTTTTATCATTGTTCATAGTCGTAAATATTTGCTAAGTAGGTATTCACAAAAATATTTTATTAACAAATAAAACATTTAAGAAAAAAGGGAAAAAACAAGATGGTGTTAATAGGATGGCCCGATTAGGTCTGGTGTGGAGATTACTCGACTATAAAGTAGAGTAAAATAAAAATCAAGTTTATTTTTAACGACGTCCACAACTAATATTCTATTTCCCTTCTCATTATTATAAATTATTTTTAATATTATTATGTACTTTGATTAGCGACATTATTTAACACAACTGTTATTATATTACACCATATGACGTCTCCGACTGATTTAAGATAATATTAAACATAGTTTATTTATTCATAATTAACATTTCATTTATTTTATAGTAATTTCGTGTAAATATATTTCTCCAAAGTAACATATTTATTTAAAATTAAATCTTCAATCCAATTACAAAATCAAAACTATAAATTTGTTGGTAATAATTCTTAGTGCACACTTTATCAGAAATAATACATCAAATTAAATAAAATAACAAAGCAAAGTGTAGTGTAATGCTACAATTTTACAGTAACTCCATTTCTGAAAAATATTTACTATAATGAATATTATTTCACCAAACTATAATGAAAGATATTTTATTTTGGCATTAGTTCGATTAGTTCGAACAAGCACCTGGAACCACAGAATAAAAGGGAAGATCTTTATGTATTATATTTTCTTATGTAATATTATTTTATTTTCCTTATATAAGTTCATGTTGATCTTATTACCGTTTTGATATGCTAGGAAATTACGTGCGGTGAGATAAAAAAGGAGGAAAGAGACATGCTTGGAGAAGAGATCGAGGAGAGAGAATAAAAGATTTACTTGCCATAGATATGCTATTATCTTGGAAGGAAATCTTGGGAAGTTCTATGCCTTGTAGAAGACTCCAACCCTAAGGAGAAGATATATATACCCTGGAAGAAGCTGATGGCGGCTGTTGAGTTTTTCAGAGAAAATAATTGAAGAGCCACTCAAGCTTCGTTTTGCTTGCTGTTCCATTTTGATTTTGTATCCAGTTCAGTTTACGAGTTCTTAAAAACTCTAGAACTGAAGCTGCTTTTGTTTAGTTATTTATACCTTCCATCAAAACTATTTTACGGTTTACACACTTAGGGAGTAAGTGTAGGTTTATAAGTCCACGGGACGTGGCCGGAGGATTAGTTGATAGGATCAAGTAGTGTTGGCTAGATTTGAAGGGAGTTCGAATCTTTGTAAGTCCAAACTATGTGTACGAGTGATCTATCAATGAAAGAGCTCTGAGGGGAAGTGGGACGCTTCCCTGAAGAGTTTGAAAATCTTCGGTTATTTGCTTCCGCGTTTTACAATTCTTATTATTGTTCTTACTATAACTCGCGCACTCCGTGACAAATATACGTTTCAATTGGCACCAGAGCAGTGTTCCTGTTCTTACTACGGGATAAAGATCTTTGGGACTGTGTGTTGGTCACCATGAGTCACGATGGAATGTCAGTTTCGCGCCCTCCGTTCCTTGATGGAGCAAACTATGCTTATTGGAAATCCATGATGGTAATTTTTCTTCGTTCTCTTGGTAAAGGCACGTGGCAGGCCGTTGAATCAGGATGGTCGACACCACTTATGCCAAAAGCTCCCGCTGAATTTAAACAAGGTGAACCTTCGGATTCAAAGTCGTCTATGTCTTCCACTCAAGTTCTTGTTGAAAAACCAAGGAGTCTTTGGACTGACGATGAAAAACAAGCGGAAGAAGCGAACTTTCGTGCTTTGTATGCCATCATGTCTGCAGTAGACCCAACGCGTCATAAGATAATCATCCAATGCACCACCGCTCAAGAAGCCTGGAGGATTTTAGAAAGACAATTTGAGGGTACAAATGCCGTGAAAACATCAAAACTTCAAAGAGTCTCCACCGAGTTAGATGAGATCCGCATGAGGGAGGATGAAACTATTGATATGTACTATGCTCGGTTCTGCGACCTAGTCAATCAAAGTGCGATGCTTGGTGAACCGGTTCCAGAGGCTAGACAAGTACAGAAATTAATGAGAACTCTGCCGGATAGGTTTGGAATCAAGATCACAGCACTTGAGAGCTTCCAGAGGATTCAGAAACTTGGCATTGACGATCTCCTCAGTGAACTTCGCACCTTCGAAATCAACCATGGCTTTGACTCTATGAGGATAAGCAAAGGAAAAGGCTTGGCGTTGAAGGCCAAGGTTCGCACCCCAGTAGCTGAAGACGAAGAATCTGATGAAGAATCCTTTGATCCTGATGAAATCACCAAGGCACTTACTGTACTCTCTAAAAATGTCTCGAAGCTGAAGAAATTTCAGAAGAAGAGGTTTCAGGGTAATAGATCGTTTGATGAAGGTAGGAACCAAATTCAGCAACTCGGAGAAAAGCGTTCTGGTGTGCAGCTGAACAAGTTCCAGAACTCTAATCAAGGAGTAGAGAAGGACCAATGCCGAGAATGCAAGGGCTTTGGACATTTTCAAAAGGAATGTCCTAATTTCAAGAAGAAGAACAAAACATTCAAGGCTACATGGTCTGATTCGAGCGACGACGAGGACAACGAATCTGAAACAACTGAGAATTCTATCTACTCAAATAACTCTGCTAAATGTCTTCTTAATGAATATAACTGTTTTACCTCTTCTGTTCATCTAACTGATATTGAATCTGACGCAGGTTCTTACGCAAAAAACTTGAGCGAAGTGGACTCTGATGAATTTTCGGACCCAGCTGCCGAGAATCTTGTACTTCACAAGTACGCCATTGAAAAGTGTCTCAAGGCAAGAGACATCATCAATAAGTACCATACTCAGAAGCAGAAGATGAAGGCTTTGGAACAACGATCCAGCGAACGTGAGAAAGAGATTGACTATCTTCGGAGTGAGCTTCAAAAGATGAGAATAATGACAGTCGATTTGAACGAGAAGCTTATAAAATCAGATCTCCATACCGCAAAGCAGGATAAGGACTTAAATAGTTGTTTTGCAAAACTTGCCTTGGTTGAACATGGGGATAAACTCAACAAGCAGGCAAGTGACGAGCTGAATTTTATTATTGAAAACTTACGCAACGAGTTGTTTGCTTTGCAAAATGTTGTAGGTGAAAGAGAAACTGAGATAACCGTACTCAAGGAGGAACTCGGGCAATTAATGGAGGAACATATGACACTTAGAAGTCATTGCTCTACCCTTGAAGAGAAGTTGGGTAAAAGCGAGGAAGTTGTCAAGATGATCAATAAACCCAAGACCTCATATGCAGAAGTTCAAAGACTAAGTCAACAGATTGGTTCATCCGACTCGAATAAGAACCTCCACAATCAGAAACTGAAGGGAAAGGTCGGAGAATCAGACACCTCACTGAGGAAGACAGGTCTGACTTTTGTTAAAGAGGGGTACTCACTTGATTCCAAAAAGGGTAAGCCAAACTCCCCAAAAGCATCACACAAAGATTCAGGTAAGAACTTTGTACCCGTTTGTCACTACTGTGGGATTCGAGGTCACATTCGCCCCAAGTGCTACAGAATGCACAATGATATATATACGGGTCGAATTAATGACTGGAGTCCTCACGGTGTTCCCCTGAAAGCACCCAAACTCAAAATTGATATAGTGAATCATGAACAGAAAAAGATCTGGGTTCCAAAGGTAAATAAGAACGTATGTCTGTCTTCTATATTTGCCTTAAAATCTACTTCCAATTCTGACTGGTACTTTGATAGTGGTTGCTCTCGTCACATGACAGGGATAAAATCCAACTTGGTTGGTATTGTGC